AAAAGAAAAGTAGCCGGGTGTGTGGCAGTGCCTGTCGGGAGGCAGGTACTCAGGAGGCTACTCAGGGAGGCTGAGACTGGAGAATGACGTGAACCCGGGAGGCGGAGGTTGCAGCGAGCCGAGATCGACCCCTGCACTCCAGCCTGGGTGACAGAGAGAGACTCCATCCTAAAAAAAAAAAAAAAAAAGTGTTTTTTGCCGAGGTTAGGTTGAGCCTGCAACCCAGCCCTGAGGAGGTCCTGACACCCTGGCCCAGGTGGTCGAGGACAGCTTGGTTTATGCTTTTAAGGAGAACGTCAGACCTGAATCTGTGTGTAAGATGAACCTGGCTCTGCCAAGCGTGTCCGTGTGAACAGACCACCAAACAGGCTTCGTGGGAGCCATAAAAGCTGTTTATTCACTTGGGTGCCGGTGGGCTGAGTCCGAAAAGAGAGTCAGCAAAGGGGGAGATGGGGAAGGGGTGGGTTGATAGGACTTGGGGAGGTCACGGAAAACGACAGCCAAAGGTGCGGATCTGAAGGGGCGGCCGGCCCCTCCACGCCTGTGGGGGTTTCTGTGGGTCAGGTGCTGAGAAAAGAAATAAGACACAGAGACAAAGTATAGAGAAAGGGGACCGGCGCTGAGGGACCCCAGGCAGGCCCCGGTCTCTGAGTTCCCTCAGTATTTATTGATCATTATCTCTTTACCATCTCGGAGAGGGGGATGTCGCAGGACAACAGGGTAACAGTGGGGAGAAGGTCAGCAGGAAAACATGCAAACAGAGATCTCTGTGTCATCAATAAGTTTAAAGAAAGGTGCTGTGCCTTGGCCTTGCACAGATACAAACATCTATACAAACATCTTGGATGCAAACATCTGGAATGCAAACATGAAACAGCAGCATTGCCGCTAGCACGTCTCACCTCCAGCCCTAAGGTGATTTTCTCCTATCTCAGTAAATAGAACGTACAATCGGGTTTTACACCGAGAAATTCCATTGCCCAGGGACCAGCAGGAGACCGAGGCCTTCCTGTGTCTCAACTGCCAAGAGGCCGTCCTCTTTTACTAATCCTCCTCAGCACAGACCCTTTACGGGTGTCAGTTTCTCCCTTCCCAAGAGGCCGTATCTCAGACTATCCCATGGGGAGAAACCTTGGACAATACCTGGCTTTCCTGGGCAGAGGTCCCTGCGACCGGCCTTCCGCAGTGTACATGCCCCTGGGTACTCGAGATCAGAGAACAGTGATGACTTTTACCAAGCACACTGCCTTCAAGCCCTTTTTTAACAAAGCACATCCTGCATAGCCCTGAATCCATTAAACCCTGAGTCAACACAGCACACATTCCTGCAAGCACAGGGTTGGGGCTATAGGGTTACAGATTAACAGCATCTCAGGGCAGAAGAATTTCTCTGAGGACAGAACAAAGTGGAGTCTCTTATGTCTGTAGACACGGTAACAGTCAGATCCCTCCCTCTTTTCCCCACGGTTATCTACTGTTAGCAGAGGAAGGGGTTACAAGGTGCACGGTGGACACATCCTAAGACTCATTGTCGAGAAGACGAACGGCACACGGTCGATGGATCAGCTAAGGTAGGGCAGGGACGAGTCAGAATAGGAAAACGTGGTAATTTTAGTTACTCAGTGAAGGCAGGCACTGGCTGTTTTACTTCTGTGTCGTTCTTTGCTTTGACTGCTCCCGACTTCTCGGCTCCTGCAGGCCTCCGGGACGTGTACGTGCAGGTCACGGGGGTGATAATGGCTGAGGTTCGGCTCAGAGGCCTGACGGGTTAAATGTGTGAAGGCAGGACAGCTCGACAGGCGGCGAGGCGGACTTCCAGGTCAGAACTAGGTTTTAAAATTTTTCTGACTGGCAATTGGTTGAAAGAGTTCTTATTAGGCCGGGCGCGGTGGCTCACGCCTGTCATCCCAGCACTTTGGGAGGCTGAGGTGGGCGGATCAGCTGAACTCGGGAGTTCGAGACCAGCCTGACCAACGCGGCGAGACCCACTCGCGACTAAAAATGCGAAAAATTAGCTGGAAACGGTGGCAGGGGCCTGTAATCCCACCGGTTCTGGAGGCTGAGGCAGGAGAATCTCTTGAATACAGGAGGCGGAGGCTGCAGTGAGCTGAGATCGTGCCACTGCATTCCAGCCTGGGCAACAGAGCAAGACCCTGTCTCTCCACACACACACACACGAGTTATTAGTAGAAAGGAGCGCGGTGGCTCACACCTGTCATCCACGCACTTTGGGAGGCCGAGATGGGCGGATCACACAGGTCAAGGAGAGTCGGACCATCCTGGCTAACACGGTGAACCCCGTCTCTACTAAAAATACAAAAATTAGCTGGGCGTGGTGGCGGGCGCCTGTAGTCCCAGCTACTCGGGAGGCTGAGCAGGAGAATGACGTGAACCAGGGGTGGAGCTTGCAGTGAGCTGAGATCCGGCCACTGCACTCCAGCCTGGGCGGCAGAGCGAGACTCCGTCTCAAAATAAGTAAATAAATAAATAAGGAATATCTGCATTAAGATAAGAGGGTGTGGAGACGAAGGTTTTTTGTGTTTGGATGGGAGTCTGGCTCTATCCCCCAGGCTGGAGTGCAATGGTGCCATCTCGGCTCACTGCAACCTCCACCTCCCGGGTTCCAGGGATTCTTCTGCCTCAGCCTCCCGAGTGGCTGGGATGACAGGCACCTGCCACCACGCCCGGTTAACTTTTGTGTTTTCAGTAGAGACGGGGTTTTGCCGTGTTGGCCAGGCTGGTCTCGAACTCCTGACCTCAGGTGATCCACCTGCCTCGGCCTCCCAAAGTGTTTGGGATGACAGGCGTGAGCCGCCCGGCCCCACCCAGACCTGCATTTTAACCTCCCCTCCACCCTGCGGCCCTGGGACCCTGGGCATCCGGAGGTTCACAGCAGCCCTCCTGGGATGCTCCAGGCAGATCGCTGCACAGCTGTGCAGGGGGAGGGGACGCCATCCTGGGCCTTTTCCAGCTGGCTGCCGAGAAGGGGCCAGCACCCTCCTGGGGACCCAGAGCCACAGCACAGGTGTGGTTGCTTCTCTTGAAGAAAGAGCCTGAGGCTGAGCTGATAAAGAATGGGTTCCTCCTCCTGGGCCCTGCAGGCTCTGGGGACCCTCCCTCTCTCCATCCCTCCCTCCCTCCCTCCCGCCCAGTCCCGGCAGCTGGGAAGGCCTGAGCTTATCTGGCTTGCTGGGTCTGGGAGGAAGGGATTTTGGGAAGATGTAAATAAAAACAAAACCTGCACCCAGCTGGGAAGCCCTGCCTGAGTGTGGACGAGAAGGCAGCACGGGCAGCCGCCAGGAGCTGCAGACCCAGAGGATCTCGTCCTTTCTTGCGGCCCAGGGAGAGACCAGGCCTTTCATTCTGGGCTCAAGATCAACAATTCGAATTCCGAAGTCCCCCTGCGCCCGGGGCCCAAGGTGTGTCTGCAGCTTCAGCTGAAGTTTGTCTCCTCTTCCCCAGGAGGCCTGGGCTTCTTCCCTTCCTCTGGGTCGCATTTCTTTTATCTTTTCTTTTCTTTTCTTTTTTTGAGGCAGAGTCTCACTCTGTCACCCAGGCTGGAGTGCAGGGGGGTGATCTCGGCTCACCACAGCCCCCGCCTCCCGGGTGCAAACGATTCTGAAGCCTCAGCCTCCTGAGTAGCTGGGATTACAGGCGTCCGCCACCACGGCCGGCTACTTTTTGTACTATTAGTAGAGATGGGGTTTCACCATGTTGGCCAGGCTGGTCTCAAACTCCTGACCTCGTGATCCACCTGCTTCAGCCTCCCAAAGTGCTGGGATGACAGGTGTGAGCCACCGTGCCCGGCCCCTCCAGGTCTTATTTTCTAAGAGTAGGCCCCTGGTCCACCAGGGAACATTGCAGACACGTGAAACTCTCAACAGGCTGATTTAGCCCTGAAAAATCTTACATACATTGCCAGGCGTGGTGGTGCATACCTGTCATCCCAGCTACTCCGGAGGCTGAGGCAGGAAAATTGCTTGAACCTGGGAAGTGGAGGTTGCAGTGAGCCGAGATTGCGGCATTGCACTCCAACCTGGGTAACAAGAGTGAAATTCTGTCTTAAAAAAAAATCGTACATACAGCTGGGCGCAGTGGCTCACGCCGGTAATCCCAGCACTCTGGGAGGCTGAGGCGGGCGGATCACCTGAGGTCAGGAGTTCAAGACCAGGCTGGTCAACATGGTGAAACCCTGTCTCTACTAAAAATAGAAAAATTAGACAGGTGTGGTGATAGGCGCCTGTAATCCCAGCTACTCCAGAGGCTGAGGCAGGAAAATTGCTTGAACCTGGGAGGTGGAGGTTGCAGTGAGCCAAGATCACAGCATTGCACTCCAGTCTGGGTAATAAGAGTGAAACTCTGTATTTAAAAAAAAAAGAAAAAACCCAAAAAGTTTGTTATACAGAGGCAGAGAAAAAATTTACAGGCTTTCTAAAATGCCCTTATGAAAAGAGTCTCTTCCCTTATTTTCAGCATTATACATTTATATTTTATATATTTATTTTTTTAAGCACTCATCACTCTGACCTGATGCCCCAAC